GCACCACCTAGAGTGCATCACCAGAAACGACTCCAGTAACATAAAGCTGATTTTCTTTTCAAAGTATGATTTTATTTCAAAGGAACATTTCCAGACCTACTTCCTCTCAGTGACAGTATTTTTATTTAAATATCTAAAGGAGATGGGGGAAAAAAAGGACATCACAAAACATGTTAGCTTTCACTGAGCGCTCTAATTCAATGCGTGTTGTTTCTGGCTTGACCATCAGTAGTAAGAAAGTTTCTCGATCAGAAGATAGTTAATGATGCTGATGATGATGTCCGAAGCCGAACAGAATCCTGTTCATCCTCCCAAACCTGCTTTGGCTTTCCATGAAAATGGGAAAAGATTGTTATGTTTTCCAATAAACTATTTAATTAGGATTTAGATGGTAGGAGTAAGCAAATCAAAAGGGGAAGATGTTAAAGATATTGTAGGTTTATTAATTAGTTGCTTATTATTAGTTGCTTATTTCTATCCACATTTTAATCACAGCCTGTTCATACCAGACACCTAATTTTATGAGGCCAACTCCCGTGTGTTGTTATAGTAGCAATAGAGGCTAGTAGTAAATTCATGCTATGGAAATACTTGATCTTCCATTGCTTTCCACCTAGGGAAAGTGAATGAAAAATGATGCAAAGTTTTAATCTTGATTTATTTACACTCATTTTCTTCCAGTATAACTGAATAAGAGATACTTTACCATTGCTTTAGTCTGACACGGCAGAAATTAAAATCAAAATTATTTATTTATAGTTAAAGAATCACAGAATGAATCACTGAATAGCTGGGGTTGGAAGGGACCTCTGGAGATAATCACAGAATCACAGAATCGTTTAGCTTGGAAGGGACCTCTGCAGATCATCTAGTCCAACCTCCCTGCTCAAGCAGGGTCACCTAGAGCATATTGCCCAGGATCGCGTCCAGACGGCTTTTGAATATCTCCAGCGAAGGAGACTCCACTACCTCTCTGGGCAACCTGGTCCAACGCTCTGTCACCCTCACAGGAAAGAAGTTTTTTCTCAGGTTCAGATGGAACTTCCTGTGGTTCAGTTTCTGCCCATTGCCTCTTGTCCTGTCGCTGGGCACCACTTTTTGCAGTCTTTCCTCATAGGAGAGATGCTCCAGCCCTCTAATCATCTTTGTAGCCCTCCGCTGGACTCTCTCCAGGAGTGTCATGTCTCTCTTGGACTGGGGAGCCCAGAACTGGACACAGTCCTCCAGGTGAGGCCTCCCCAGGGCTGAGGAGAGGGGCAGGATCACCTCCCTCCACCTGCTGGCAACACTCTGCCTAATGCACCCCAGGAGACCATTGGCCTTCTTGGCCACAAGGGCACACTGCTGCCTCATGTTTAACTTGTTGTCCACCAGGACTCCCCAGCTCCTTCTCGGCAGAGCTGCTTTCCAGCAGGTCAATCCCCAGTCTGTACTGCTGCATGGGATTATTTCTCCCAAGGTGTAGGACCTTGCACTTGCCTTGGTTGAACTTCATGAGGTTCCTTTCCGCCCAGCTCTCCAGCCTGGCCAGGTCCTTCTGAATGGCTGCACAGCCTTCTGGTGTGAATCTGCTCCAGCTCCCTGCTTGAGCAGGTTCAGCTACAGCAGGGTGCCCAAGACCGTGTCAAGTTTGGTTTTGAATATCTCCAGGGAAGAAGACTCCAATGCTTCTCTGGGCAACCTGTTCCAGTGCTCAAACACCCTCAAAGTGAAGAAGTGCTTTCTTGTGTTTAAGCAGAATTTCCTATGTTTCAGTTGTGCTTTTTGCCCCTCGTCCTGTCTCTGGATACCACTAAGAAGAGTCTGGCCCCGTCCTCTTTACACCTTCCCATCAGATACCCATAAACATGATCCCCCCGAGCTTTCTCTTCTCCAGGCTAAGCAGTCTCAGTTCTCTCAGCCTCTCCTCATATGAGAGGCGCTGCAGTCCCTTAATCATCCTTGGGGCCCTTTGCTGGATTTGCTCCAGTAAGTCCATGTCTTTCTTGCACTTGGGAGCCCAGAAGTGGACACAGTTACCCCAAATGTGGCCTCACCAAGGCTGAGTAGAGGGGAAGGATCACCTCCCTACACCTGCTGGCAAAGCTCTTCCTAATGCAACCCAGGATACTATTGAGCTCCTTTGCCATGAGGGCACATTGTTGTTTCGTGGTCAACTTGTTGTCCATCAGGACCCCTAGGTCCTTCTCTGCAAAGCTGCTCTGCAGCTGGTTAGACCCTAGCCTACACCGGTGCCTGGAGTTATTCCACGCCACGGCACAGGACTTTGCGCTTCCCTTTGTTGAGCTTGATGAGGTTCCTCTCCGCCCATTTCTCCAGGCTATTGAGTTCCCTTTGAATGGCAGTGAGACCATCTGGTGAATCAGCCACTCTTCCTAGTTTTGTATCATCAGCTAACTTGCTGAGGCTGTGTTTGGTCACATCATCCAGGTCATTAATGAAGTTGTTAAACAGTATTGGCACCACTGTTGACCCCTGTGGGGCATCACTGGTCTCCAGCTGGACTTCATGCTGCTGATCAGAACCCTCTGGGCCTACCAGTTCAGCCAGTTTTCAGTCCAGTTCACTGACCACTTATCTAGCCTGTACTTCATCAGCTGTCTATGAGGATGTTATGGGAGACAATGTCCAAAACTTTACTACAGCCAAGATAAACAACATTCACTGCTCTCCTTCAAGCCAGTGATCTTCCATTTATCCCCCAAGCCAGTGGTTTCATCACAGAAGGCTATCAGGTTGGTTAAGCATGGTTTCCCCTTTGTAAATCCATGCTAGCTATTCCCAATCACCTTCTTATCCTTCACATATCTGGAAGTGGTATCCAGGATTAGTTGTTCCATCCATCACATCACCGTGGATTGCGGTGAAGCTGACCAGCCTGTAGTTTCCCAGATCCTCCTTCTTTCCCTCTTGGAGATAGGAGTGACATTTACTTTCTTCCAGTCCACAGGGAGGTCTCCTGATCACCATGACATTTCAAAGATAATGAAGAGTGGCCTTGCAGTGGCATCAGCCAGCTCCCTCAGCCTTGTAGGTGCATCCCATCGCGGTCTATGGACTTGTGCATGCCTGGAGTAACTCAGTGGTGAATCAGGCCCTGTATCTGGCAACAACACTCTTCTCCATGGTTTGTGGCTGTATCAGTTAATCTGTAAATTCTGTCAGTGTCCAGAAATGCTCAGATGGAATTACTTCTCAATTCTGAATTACTGATCCACATAGGTGCATTGTACATACATGCAGTACTGATAAACAGATGATTGGCACTGATACCACACTTTTGATGCTGCTTATTTTCATCTTTTAAACAAACAGAACAAGTTGTTTGTATAGCTGCATAAAGATCTTATTACCTGCTGTTTTAAAGACTAAACCAAACAGGAATATAGGCTTAACAAAATAGAGCATTTTCTTGCTATGTAAATATATATGTAAAAATTCAGCTGTTAACAAGTGCCTGTTATTAATCCCTGGCAAAGCAAAGCAAGGAGCCTGAAAACATGGTTTCTCCCTCCATTAATTGAAAAGTGTACACTGAAGAAGTACAGTTGCTGATCTGTATTGCAGTATGTGGTCCTTTTTAAGTATGAGAAGATACACACTACTGAACGGGACTAGCACAGGAAACAGCCTCTTCTTTCCTCAGAATACCACACTCCTGATCAAATGGAACATAGCTCATAGTAACGCAGCTGATCTTTATTCTTCTCTCTCCCATTTTCCACTTACCCAGTGCTGGTTGCCTTTCTATTATAGCTGGGATCCAGCTACTTTGGCTGTAAGAAAAATTCTTTTTTAAAGGATGGAATGAGTTAACCACTTTGTCTCTGGCCCTCTTCCTCATTTCTCTTCTGGCCTAGAAATACATCTGAGGTCACTTAAACTGACCTGTTTCCCTTCCCTTCTGTTTCCCTTAACTATTTATTATTCCTAGGCTAAACCTTATAAAGCTTACGTATTGTAAAGTCTAAGCATTGTTAACTGTTGCTAGTCAATATTAATTAATTATAATATTGTACACCAATAAGATTTATGTTATTGAAATTCCTAATCTGAAGAGAAGGAACCAAAAAGAAAGGGTTTTGGACCCTTCAGTCCTGATAATAATTCTTCTCTTACCCGCTATAACCAGATGTGGATTATGACCGAGCATAATTTCTCAATACTCTCTGACAATGCATGCCAAATAATATGTCCACCAAAAAAGTACTTCTGTATTACCATTGCATTATGACTACACTAAGAGAAAATAATTATGTCAGTGGGGAGACTCTGACCTGTATCACTTTTTACACAAAAAGGAGTATGGAGCTCTCAGCCAAAGCTGACTGCTGCTATTAAAATTATAGAAAAATGGAAAAACATTATGGTCAAGGAATAGCCACACAAAGATATCCCATAGATGTTACAATTTGCAGTGAAGCACCTATAACCATTATAAGAAAATAAATGCACTTTGCATAATATCATGAAAATGCAGAACATGCAGACATTCTGAGTGTAAATTATTTAAAATAAAAACCGATGTCTTAGTTATATAAATCCAAATTTGGTCATTTTTGAATAGAGAATTTATATATTTAGAGTTATGACCACTGAGAAAGAAAAAATATATAGATGCAAATACTTTGAAGGCATATAAACCATTTTCTTGCTTCAAGGTGAACACAGTGATTCACAAGCTGAAAACTTTTTTATTGAGCTCAGTCATTCCCAAGTTTATTGTTTCAAGACATTCTGCATATTTCCCTGAACCATATGAGACTGGAACCTGCCTGAAAACAACATAGGACTATCTGGACCTTGATGTTGTTCTAGAATGGACGATTCTACTTCTATGACACCGTAACAGTGCAATCTTATCTCCCTATGTAAATCCCAGACTGTAGCATCTCCAGGTCATGTGACAGATGTAAATTTGGTCTGAAGACTGAATGCAGAGGTCAAATGGGATTTTTAGATTTTCTCAACATGCATGTTTTCCTTCTTCTGAATTTAAGCAGCTAGCCTAACTAGAAGTAACCCAGTTGAGACAAAGAAGGGATTTTATTTAACACCTCAAGATGGGCAGCGGAGCCAGTTCTGAGAGCAAAGAGTCAGCCAGGAGATCCAGAGAACTGGAGAAGAAACTCCAGGAAGATGCGGAAAGGGAAGCCAGGACAGTCAAACTACTATTACTGGGTAAAAAGAATAGAAATTGTTGATAACATTTTTTCCACTGAAGGGTTATTTGGTACTGAAGTTACATTTCAGTAAAGGGAACTTCTCATCTTTTACTATTTCATTTGGAAAAGATAGTCCTGTAACAAATATACAAAACATTTTCTAGTTGCAGACATTCTTTTTTAAATCATGAAGTTGCAGACAACCAGTTAAGACACAAGGTACAGGTTGAAAATGGTGATGTAATTAAGTGTATTCAGTTTTAAATACTACAGATCCTTGACCTTGACAAATGAAAAATACTGTCAGAATAAATATTCTTCTGTTTTCTTATATATGTTCTTCTTTCTTCTTTCTTTTCTGCTTCTTTCTTCTTCTTTCTTTTCTTTTTTCTTCTTTTTCTCTTTTTTCCTCTTTTTCTTCTCCTTTTTTCTTCTCTTTTTTTCTTCTATTTTCTTCCTCATTTTTAATTCCTCTTTTTTGTTAATGGGGCTATATGCATTCATTTGCAGGAGGATTAAGTGAAGAACTGATTAAATAGAAAATACGTACGTACCACCTATTGAACATATTTATTTTCCAACTCTTTCACTTCCCTTTTTGCAGAAGCAGGAAGTGACTTAGTAGGGCTCTTCTCAGTGTATAAAAATGATATTTTGGATAGGGGAATGGAAGGTGATGAAATGAAATGAATGAAGATGAATATTCTCACAGACTACTATTTCTAATGCATATTATGAACTACTTACTAATAGCCAGCTTGTGCAACAGCAAACCAAAAATTTTTTATTTTCTTCCTTTCCATGATACTGCGCAGACTATGAGGACTATCCAAGAGCATAATAATACTGCTACTTTCTATACCTTTCTTCTAACAGTCTGATGTCTGCTGTTAGAATTTATATTTGTTTCACCAAATGAATAGGAAAACTGCCTTTGACTGAAATGTTTTATTTTTTCTTCACGGTAACCACAACGCTTTACAAATGCTTTTAAACTGACATTTGCTGAGACTGAGCTAAATTCCTTAGCTAAAGTAAATCAGCTTAATTCTGTTGTCTTGTATTTTATGTAATCTGTTTATACCTACTGAGAATCTAACTATGATTAGTAAAAAAGAAAGAAGGGATAAATGTGATCTTGTAGCTTCTTAAATAACAACAGGAAAGTAACAATTTCGTATACTTTATCATCTACCATGACTATCCCGATTGCAGTTTGCAAAGTTGTTCAGTCTTGCGGAGAACATGAAAATCTTCTGTGCCGAATTGATACAAACTATTGCCCTTACTCAGGCAGGCTTAAGTTGGTCAAATACAGGAAGAGTATATTATTCTATGTTTTTTTATATGTTCTTAGGAAAAGGAATCAGCATACTGATCTAGAACTAGGGTCCATCTATTCCAATAGCCTGTCTCTGACATCACCCAATACTGATCTATTAAATAGATGCAACAAATTCTGTATGAGGAATTTATATGACAAGCAGTTCAAGAATAAATTTTGTTCCTCAAACCTTCATGTCTTGGTGGTTGTCTGGAGGTTGTCTTGCATCAGGATACAAACTAAAGAACCCCTCCCAGAAAATGTGTATTTAGTATTGAGAACTTTGAATATGTTTCCCAATATATACAATCAATCTTTTGTAGAATCTATTAATATTTTGGTCTCAAGATACCTTCAGTAATATGCTTTGAGATTAACCGCAAACCATATGAAATAGAACTCTTTTCCATTCATTTCAAAACTGACATATTTCCATTTCATCAAATATATGAGCACTCTTTTATGAGACAAGGCAAACAGCAGAAATTGAAATACTTTAAAGGTTTCTTTATATTACATATGTCTACAATATAATTTTTATTCATATTATACATGATAAAAATTCAAGTTTGTCAATATTTTAGAAGTTTTTTCCTCCTGGCTAACTGTTTTGACATAGATCACAAGGAACCAAACGTCTCGTAAAAAGCATATTAGAGAGGAAAAAAAAAGATTATAGAATTCAGAGCTTGCATTTGTTTAGTCTTGGAAAAAAAAGGAGGAATAAAACATAAGTCTGTTTTGAGCCTAGTACAAAGTTACTCTACTCCTGGCAATGGGTGCATCTATTTGAACATCTGGAATCACAGCTGCTGAGCCAATGTTCGTAAGGGGCCTCATATATCCCTTTCCACAATCAACCAATGAAATGGCCAGATAGGAGAGGATTAAATCTGCTGCATTCATGTCTAGGTTCAAGGTTGGAAATTTTCTAAATTTTAGATTATTCTGATCTGAGCCTGTTATCTTTCCATACCTATCAGGTGATCTTAGAAATAATTCAGCTTTTACAGTGTGTAAATCAAGGGCAGCTCCATGCAAGTCAACCAGACTACTCCGATTGTGGAAGAAAAGAAAAAAAAACCCAAAAATACTACAGTTTAAGCACTGAATGAAAATCAGTTTAAGCACTAAGAAACATGCACATAGCCATGTTATGCATAAGCTTTTGAAGAAAGTTTAATTTACCTCCTAGGAATGAAAAGGCAGTCAATTTATTATGATATATTCTAATTGTGATTATTCTGAGATTCACAGGAAAGGACAGATGAACAGATTTTTATTCATTCAGACCATATGTTGTTTCTATCTTACGGACCAGATGCCACCATTGTTTCTTTTGTAGTAGGTAGACTGGTAGAAAGTACTCAGAAAAAAGCTGTATATGCATATTATAAGTTTTTCAGTTTGATCACAATGTTCTTATGATCAAAATGTAAAAAAAAAAAATCTATTTTATCAATTTCCTGAGAAGCTAATTTAATAACTAGTCTGGTCTCTCTGTGTCCTCTGATAGGTTACTTTACAAAAATAAAATTATGCACAGAAACTAAAGATACCATATTTGATTAGGTTAAAGTTCCATGATCTGGGCAAATATATTATTCCTGATGAGCTGATAGTTTGCTATTTATAGAACAAGAGCAGGGAGAGGAGGCAACAGGAAAATGTAGTTTTCTGATGTTCTTCACAAATTGTCCAGGCGCCAGAAGTTTTAAGTCTTCCGTGCTAGGTGCACTTACGCTGCAAAGACTGCCCAGTTCCCTGCCTTGTCTGCAAATCTATCCTCTGCATATCTGTACTTTCAAAAAATCTGATTGGCTTTATGAGTCTGGAGTAAACTCCAAGGTGAAAGTTTTATTTCATTTGTATCGAAAAGCATAGTGTGGAGCCATATCTCACTGTGTCACATTGCATGTATGTGTTGTAGGAAACCAGCCTGCAATCTGTTTGTGTGTGAAGTACAATTCGCATGTGAAACATTGTAAAAACAGCTGATAATAACAGCACTCCAAGAACAGTGCCGGCGTCATTTCGCAGTAATAAGATCTTAGCTTCAGTTTAGATAATCATTAAGACTTTGAACTTACTTCTTTTCGAAGTATTATTCCACGGCCTCATTGCCTCCAACTTCAAAGTGGTGAGATTCTTTCCACCCTGGGGGTGGACGGCATCGTACGCCTTCATCTGAGCTGGTCGCTCCCAGCTCGCTTTACCGAGAAATGCTCACTTTTAGAGCAAAGCTCACTCAACTTTGTTTAAACAACTACTTCAGGCTAACAAAAATTGTGTCTCAGAAGCAAGTATTTTTCTCCATTGACTATAAGGGGCTTTCATGACTAGTCTGAATATACGTGTTTACTGTGTAGGCATTTAAAACCAGTAAGATGAATCAAACCCTGCTCACTTAGCACTGTACTGAAGTCGGGCTTAAGTTCCTGTTATTAAAATCTACACTGGAAGCAAAGAATGGACTTAGAGTCCACAATTCACCCAATAATCATATCAGCTGGTGGGGGACGTTTAAGGATGATATGCCATTAGGAGGGCAGAGGAGTTAATAAAGCACTTATGTCTTTTCTGTAGTTTCTTTCTCCCATGAAGAAAGTTTGTTCAGCTTGGAAACACGACGAGCAAGATCGCTCTCTTTTAATTTCCAGTCCAATTCACAGTTTCTAGAGGTCTGAACGGTGTAAGCAAGGCTCAGGCAGATGTGGGAAACCTTTTCTGACTTTTAACTTGAAGATATTCTTTTCCTGTCTGTTGCTGTGTTAGTCAGTGTCAGTAGATTTTTGTGACAGATTTCAAACAAAATATTCAGACAACAGTTGTTTTTTTTGTTTACTACCTTTACTTCTAGAAACTTTCCTAAACCAAACCTTTATTTCCACATAAATAAAAATTACAAAGAGCTAATAGCTCTTTCTCTGAGACAGAAAGGCAGCTTGCTAAACAAAGCCCCTTTCTTCAGCAGCTCAACAGATGCTAGTCTTGAAAGGGGTTTGCACTGTCTTTCCACAACTGTTCAAATAATTTTCTGCTTAGAAAAATAGCAGAGTCAAGTTGTAACTGAGGCTTGGTGGTTTGTTCTCCTTTAAATTCAAGAGATTTTCACTAACCTTCAAGGTCTTCTCCAGTCTGATCCCTATTTCTGCTCTATCTGTATGTTTTTGTGGCCTGCACTGTAGGCTGGCCAGACCCAGAGGCAGCTAATTGCCTGTATCTTCACTGCACAGCACTTTTTCTCGAGCCTTCTCTGCAACCTCCAAGTGCCCTGAAACGTAATGGTCTTGGGATTTGGGGTGGGTTTTTTTTTTTTTTAAGTTCAAAATATCCAAAACAACGACAGAGCCAGGTTACAGCTTGCTAGGTTGCTGTTTTTACAACACAGCGCTGAAGGCAGCAGGAACGTGGTATAAGAGCACACAGATATGCGCCGAGGCACACTGCCTGTTGTTATGCACAGGATGCCTGTCCCACAGCAAAAGTCATGTTAATTTGCAGTATCTCTCTGGAGAAGATGTGGCAGCAAACACTATGTCGGCTATTTTCTTCCTGATGGAAATTGTTTAGTGATAGCCAGGAAGAAATGTGGGAGCTAACTAGGGTGTGGGCAAGGCAAAGCTATGGAGAAAAATGGGAAGAGAGCCAAACTCGGAGTGTGAACACACTGACTGTTCATCTATTTTCCAGCTCACGTCAACTTGGAGAAAGAGGTGGTCAGTGCCACTACCACTGTTTTCCCCATGCTGCTTTGTTAAACAAAAGAGCTGTATTTCCTAGGTATGTTTAGGACAATTTACTCAGGAAATGCTTTTTCTGTGACTACTACATGAGTGTACTTGTTGAGCCTAGCGTTAAACACTTCAGGGCATGCACAGGAACTACACTTCTGGTGCCTTGCTACTGCTGGGCAGAGAAGTCAGTTACACGTTGCATTTTGGTTACCTATGCAGATTTAGCAAAATTACTTTGGATCATCCTTGACTTGCTTTTACAAGAAAATTATCTTGAGTTACAACTCCATTAGCACACAAAATGTTTAGTATCCTGTTAGCTCATCTAAAGATTGTACTGTAAAAATGGAATTAATCTCACCTAAATTTAGGCCTCTCAGTGTCAGGTGTGAAACCGTAGTAGTCATCAAAGCTTTCTACATAGCTGATGGTGGCAACCAGGCACCCTCAAAAGGCCTGTCTTGATAAGTCTTTTAGCTATCTGCATCCCTTTGTGACTCTAGAAAAGCCAATATAACAACCTTCGTCTAGACAACTAATTTCAGTCAACTGAAGTTAGGTGAAATGAACCACACTTAGCATTATGTGCATTTGAGAGGGTAACATAGTAACTTTGGCAATTTTCACCAGCTATGTGAATGTAAGTGCTGATTTTTACAAGTTAAATTCGTAAAGACATATGTAGGTCCATAAATAAGTCTATTAGTGTCATATACATGAGTTGTCGTAGAACAGAGTTCACTTGTAAAAATTACTATAAAAGCTGGTCGTCGTTTCATACCACATAATTTTAACCATCTCACAGTGGTAGCCAGTGGAGAAAAAAGGGCATGTTCAGATGATGATTCAGATTGTAGGTGGATGAACCACTCACTCTCTGAGGTTGCCTGTTTCTCTCCATTGACTCTAGGGCATATCCACACATTAGGTATTTCCACTGTGAATCTTCCCACTTCTCTTCCCGCAATACCCCCACACCTCTAACAGTGCAAACAGATGATTACGGTAATAGCTATATCTTCCTAATTAGGACTTACACAGAGTTTATCATTTACCAGGAAACTCTGAAACATCATTGCTGTTAGCTACGCTACAAGCTGTGAAATAGATAACGTTATTTAAAACATATTCAGACTGTTTTCTAACTACCTAAAAACATTCAGTTGTTAAGTGTAATGTGTTTATATACACATGGCTAAGCACAACAGACCAGAATTGATGTAAAGACTGAACTGAAGTTTTTCCACTAATTTCTGTCCAATTAGTTTCATAAGGAATGAATTTGATCTTCCAGTAATTTTAAAGGATCATGCTAATTAATAATTATTAACAACTGAAAAATAGTACAACAAAGTATGAACAATTATTGAAATTCAAAAATGTATCAGCTGGTAAGCAAAGTAAATCCATTCAAGCTTCTTTTTAGCATTTAAAGATATGTGACTTAGGGACAAATACTTAACAAAAAACCCCACCATTCTCAAAAGTCATTGTGCAAATCAGTCTAAAAAAAACCACAATGAGAACCTCCAAGACACATTGTTGAGAGTCACAGGCTGATCTAGCATATCTTTAAGAAATCAGTTATTTTTAGCCACTTATTTTCATTTAAACACAAAGGCAGAACTAAAACCATGAGATTGAACGTGGAGAGAGTCACAGGTTTGGTTCAGAGATGGTTCAGAACTGGTTTGGGGATTTGACTGTCTAGGCAATTCGACCTCTTAACTCTTCATTCCACAAAAATCCCAGGCACTATAACTCATTCTTGCTTTTATATCCAGATATGATTTTAATGAATATTTATGCTAGTGAAAAATGTTTATTTTATTCTCAGAGAATAAACAGCATCCCTATATTTGTGGTATTCAGGTATCTCTGGTGAATGCCATAATCACGGAACTATATAGATCAGATTCTCTCTGCAGCCCAGCGGTGTAGGTTATTGGGCAGACAAAGTGGAAGAGCTCCTGCACGAGATGTGGATTGGTATTTCCACGTGTACTCATATCTAATGAACTGATTATGAATCTGAGAGCTAGGAACCCTCAAGTTTAAATCTTAGTTTTGTCATCTACTCAGAACATTGATTTAGGTAGTCTGTTAAGCCTTTCCTTTTTTCAGTTTTTCAGTTTATCAAAGACCAAAATTTGATTAATTCACTACAAATTTTTGACGGGAAGTGGCATTGGGAGTGCCATCAATGCTGAGATATGCTGGCCATCTCTAGCTGACATTAGTGGCAGTGGTGATATCTTTCAGCTCCTGGGATCAGGGCCAGAATTTCAGGCATACACTGATGTTTCTGCCCCTTTATTTCTGAGGTATCCTTCTTAAGTAATCTTGGCATCCAAATAGAAAGATAGAAATCAAAAATAACATTTGAAAAAGCTGGAAGATCTTAAGTATATGAAATTCAAAATACAAGCTATGGCATGTTAGCACTGGTTCCTGTCAGGCTGAGCTATACATCTGCATTGAGAGAGACGGAGAGATTTTCAAAAGTTAATTAAACTTTCTAAGCTTTGGAACAGGACTGATTTTGGCCTAAGGCCTGGATGCAGTGCTAACCCTTGTATTTTATTTGGAAAATCTGTGCTCTCTTATGGTTGCCCTTTTTTCCTGCCTCTTGAAGGGAAACATGAGTGACTAAAAGCCTCCAGCTCCCTGTGCAGTCATTTACGGGCTATAATGGCACGCAGTCCTCTGTAGTTTGTGGTGGAAGGATGCAGAGAGAGGTAGAAATGTGGTGTTGTCTGCCCTGATGTCTCAGCCTAATGTTCTGGCCAGAGGAGACTGCACATGATAGGGGAGGAAGAAAGGAAGCAGATGCAAAGTAAATTGTTTCTGACCCGTTTCCTGGAGTGCAAATACTGCTACAGCTGACACAGCACTCTGGAGCAAAGCTAAGTCTGTGTTTGGTTTGCTATATTGACTAAGGTACTTTTAGATCACAAAGTACAGATGAACAGACATAGAAAAACACATCCATAATATACAAGTTTTCCTCCTATTCATACAAGTTTTCCTCCTGTTCTATTTTAACTTTGTCTTTCAGATCTAAAAGAGAGGTTCACTTTGATATTATGCTTTCTGGCATCTTTCCATGAGATGAATGTCTGAAGTCTTGGAACAGCTCTCTCTTTTTCTAGAAAAAAATGTAGCAAATGCTGCCTTGCTGATGGGCTTTACCAAGCTCTTCAGAAGGGTACTGGGAGGATAATGAATGATATAGCAAACTTGCAAGTTGCAAATGCAAAACCACTGTTGACAAAGTGGTCATTTTTTCCAAACTGAGGCAGATGGCAGCATCAGCCCATTTTGCATAGGCTTGGTGCTTTTCTCTGGCACTTTCTGCTATTCATATCATAGGCTTTGGAAATGATTTGCATATGGTTTGCTGTTTGTTGTGATTCATCTGTGTGAATTAATCTCTGTCATTTAAATGTTATTAGCTTTACAAAATCTGTTTAGAAAGTGGGCAATGAGTTCATTCCATTCATTGAGAAGCCTCCAGATAGAATATCGTGTCCCAGATTTTACCTTTTGTCAAAAGTATCCGACACTTTGTCCACGGAGGTAAATGATAACCTGCAAAGAGTAGAATAATGAAGAATCCTGTCTCATGGATTCATATCCAAAACTGAATCTTCTTTGAGGTGCTTTGAAAACCTGGGTCAGGTTTGGCAAGTCTTGCCAAGCCCCATTTCTCATCACCTTCACTGATAGATGATGGCCACTCACACTGATTTCCAAAGGAGAAGGCTTATATTGTGCATATCATTCACTTTGCAACAGGCAGCAAGGCCAGACTCATCATATCTAATTCCATATCTGACCAAATCGAAGCCCTAGTTCTGCAACTGACTGTTCAAGTAAATGCCTGTATACTCTGACAAGGACAGAGATTTACTGCAGAACCGTTCCCAAGCTGAATCTATTGCAAGACTATGGGTTTCCCATCTCTGTCCACACTGCTTCAGAGCAGATGAGCATGAGGTAGAAGAAGTGGCAAAGCACCAGTGTCATTTGCTCATGTGCTGCCTCTGCAGCATGAGCCAGAGCACATACAAATCTCTGTACTCCATTTTCCAGTTGTTCAAAGAGACTAACTAAAGAGAACGGAACTGGCTATTTTGGCTTACAAAACATGTATGACACACTTGATTTGGGCAGCTACAAATCATATAATGAATGAAGCAATTCCCATCAACACACACTATGAGAAGGTGTATTTTGTTTCACTGAATTAAACTCTTCCATGTCTTTTAGACCAAACTGCCTAGATGACAGGGATGAAATCAAAATGTGACACATATTTTACTTTTTAAATAATTAAGAAGAGCATATATTTTTTCTTTTAATTAACTAAATACACTTTTCAAATGTTCCTTTCCTTTCAGAATAAATATTTGTACCACAGTTTCACTCATTTTAAGTCTTTGAATCAAAACAAGGGAAGATTACAGTTGGCAAAAATGGGATCTAAAACACCTGTATGTTTCTTCATAAATGCACACTTATGTATTCCATGGAGTTATTTTTGATACCTGCTAGTTATTCATGTATCACATTTCCTCAACATTCCCCTTCTGCAGGTGCTGGAGAGTCAGGAAAGAGCACTATTGTAAAGCAAATGAAGTAAGTATATGAATATTCATACGAGTTGTTGGATTTCAATATTTGTAGTATAAGTTATGTAGCTAATATACGATATTTATATTTATGAATAAAATGCAACGAAACATCACTAAAATCAAGTTCTCATTCAGCTATATGAAGAAAAATACCAAGTGACTGAAGACACACAGCTGGTCTGGTAATTAAATCTGTCTAATCAAATCATGCACTGGTCCCGTTCCAATTTTCGTGGTTTCAGTAGAAGTTACAGTACTGTAGTGAGAACATAAGTGTAAAAGACAACCAGCCGTTTCGGATCCACCTAGCCTAGCATTCAGTCTCCGGCAATAGCTAATAGAGGATGTTTCTGGAAGATTATGAGAATAGACAAGCAAGCACACAGTAACATTTTGCCCATGTTACCCTGCCACTACCTGGCGATCTGCGACTCAGTCACCATCCTGAATCAAAGACAGTATCATTGTGCTTAATAGTCTTCAGACAATTTGTTCCCGCATTTCTGCTGAATCTCTTCTTGAACCTATGTAAACTAACAACAACCACAGTATTACATGGCAAGCAATTCCATCATTTAATTACACATTATGTGAATTATTTCCTTTTGTTCAATGTTAATGTGGTCCCTACTTGTTTCATTTGATTTCACTGTATTTCAAGAGAAAATATTGAATATTCGCATTCTATAACAATAGTGCCAAGCCATTTTTTTTCCAAACTGGGCTCTGTAGATCATTCTTGGTCTCCACAGTACTATTTTACCTCCTTTCTATGGCCAGTAAGATTATTCTTAAGCTTCGCACCGCCCAGACGACAATGTATTTAGCTGCAGGCCTATACAATGAGCACCTGCTACCTGCCATCTAACTGGTGTAGGGGCAGTCATGAGAACTAACTTACTTACAAAGGAAAGAATCACCCCGCAAAGCATTCATACAACAATCAAGCTGGATAAAAGCAGGCTGGACCATCTCAAATGCAGGAATCCCTGTTCAAATTCTGAGTGAGCATATGGTTAGGAAGATTTTAAGACTGTACTATAAATTAAGTGCAAGAATACTTGTGGTAGATGCTTGCTCAGCATGGACTAGGTGCACACAGATTGAAATCAGGACCTGTATTTCCCTTGGCTTCAAAGAGATGCCAAATTCTTTCACTCTCCCCATCCATGTATTTACAATTCAACATCACACTATTTTTCATGGATAATAAAACAGGCTAAAATCTAAATCACGTTATTCTTTTAAGGGTAGACAAAATATTGATTGTGTATCTGGTTTAAACAGATAAACCACCTGAGTTCCAGAGATCAGACTTAGACAGGCAACACAAAATCCTCCTTTACTGTGTAAGCAGCTAAAATATCACTGTTTTATCTAGCCTTATTTTCACAGACAGTGTCCAGGACTGTTTCCCAGACCTGGACAAATGCACGAATAAAGCACAAAACTGCATAGTCACAGTCATTGTAATTATTTAAGCACAACCCCACTTTGTAGGCACCAATCTATTCTCATACAAACATTAAGTATGGTGGTTTACTAAATAGCTCACATTATTCCTATTTTAAACTCTCCTGGTTATTTCATATCTTCACCAACAAATTTTAAAGAGTGAAGTAAAAAATACTGTGTCATAAGAGCAATTTCCTACTATTTAAGCAACTCATTTTCTAATAAGCCAGATTCAGTAATGGCACAGCAGAGTCCATCAAATACTTTGCTAACCTTTTTTCTAGTTAAATGGTGGATGATTTTATTTCTGTTGTGACCTCACATCAGGGAAACTTCCCTATTCAGCAAACAAATGAAATATATATTTAGTCTCATTCAAATTGTACTGAACCCCTCACCATGTAGGAATAGATTAAAGAAACTCCTCTAAATTGGGAATTTTAAGAAGGCTGATAACCCTTAATAGCATGGAGGGAGAAGAAAACTGCAAAGCTGAGAGTTACCATTAAAGCCCTGTGCATATATGACCTGTCAATCGAACTGTAAATATGAATTATTTTCCGAGAAAATTTTTGATAGAAATTATGGCTTTTCATATAAAATGTCGACTTTCAGTCAGGCTCAAGGCCTTTTTTTCTGAAAAGGGAAACCTTTCAGTAAAGAACACTATTCTAGTTTTTTTTTTAAGCGAAGTATAACATTTTCCAGAGAAGGCTCCAAACTGTTTACAAAGAGGTGATTTTGTTGAAAATACAATTTTGCACCAGAATCAACTAATCAGAGTTATTTTACTACTCTTAATATAATTTTCTAATTCATAAACTTCATTCTTTCCAGACTCAACATTTTAATCAAAGTTAAATCCTTCCACTAAGCTTTACACAATATCTTACAATGCATGAAATACAGGTATGCTGTAAGGCTTTAGAAAAGCTAGGCTGGTTGTGAAGGAAAACTGAAAAGGAAAAAATAAGCTTCTACAGAGCTCTCTGGTTCTGGGTGGATCATTTCCAACATGTGAGCTAACTTGTTTAAAGTCAAGTTGAGTATTTCTGTGCTATGCCATAAAATATAGAACTCAGAATTATAATAGCGCAACAAATGAAAAGCATGAAACAATGAAATATTTGTTAACTCATCATGCCTGTTGAGACTGAATCACATCCACCTATCTGCTGAAAAATTCCCCTTGCACGAAAAAAAAAAAAAAAAAAAGAAGACTAAATTTTCCCTCCAATACAAACAAAATTTAGATATTATGACTGGTAACCTAACATCTCATTCCTTTACCAACCTGCATTTATTTTTTAGCGTGTTTTTTTTTTTTTTATTTTTGCAGGGACGATCAATTAACTAAATTCTCAGTTACTAACAAGACTTATTAGGATGGTATCTGGACATATTAAGACAGCATCACTGTTTCAAAATCTTTTCTTAAGAATATTGTATCTCTAAAGAGATCAGCAAAACTCGCTACTGATTCAATAGACTGGTTAACATACATTCTGCTAGAGGACATAAATAATAATAATAATAAATAGTCTCAAGCAAAAACAAGTTTTCTCCCTGTAACTACAGAATCTAGTTTTATTTCAGGATTTTTATTTTCTTACTCCTTTTGTTCTTTAAAGAAAAAGTATTAAAAAAACCTTATAAAATAATCATTTAGGGTTTGTAAGTGTTGAGGCTTTGCCTTCACTCTCATCCCAGATTTTTGCAACCGCAGCCAGAACGCCACATCTTCCACATAGATCCTGTTACTTGCATCGGTGTGAGACACACAAAGTATTTAAGCCAAGCTCAGGTTTGCTTGTTCTGGGGTGCTGAGTTTCTGTGCGTTTCTTTCCACTATTTATAGAAAAACATTTGCTTTTACAGGCAGTAAGGGTAACAGTGAGGAGAATACACTTCAGTACCGGTGTATACACTTCAGTACCTGTACAAGGTTCAGCATTTCTTGATGACAGCTGAAACTGATGAAAGGCAATCTGACCCATTAAAGGGGATCACCTACATCAGTGGGAAGCTCTGTGCTAGCTGGTACTTGACACACAGCCAGCCCACAGACTAACCACAACTGATAATCTAAAAGTAGCCAGTGCACTATTATTTAGCTACATTAGTTCTCCCGAGAGAATAAGCCTCTCCGCTCAATAAGTCTTTTCAGCTCATTCAGAGCACTGTGTTGACACAGGGATACGTGGATGTTTCAGGTGATGGCAAAAAAAAAAAAAAGTCCAGCAGTATATCACCTTGCAAAACATAGACAGCTCCTCTGAATCTTTCTCTCGAGTTCAAAAGGATTTATCTGTGTCTCGCAGATTTATTTGAATTCATGCTGAAGACAGCATTCAAAAAACTGAGTTTCAAAATGGAATTTACACATCTGCCTGTTCTAAAAGTGGTTGTCAAAACACTTAGGGAACTTTTTTTTTCCCCCCCCTGCAGCACTACAGATGCTATTCCTACAAATACAGGAATGTATCTTTTGACTTTTGTAACATTTGTGGATCATAGAGGTGTTAAGGTTCATGCACATTCTGCTGTGATTTTCTTGGGGATTTTTAGGAGGTGCGTGTGAACTATTTTGTGACAGGGCAGACTTCTCCTCCTGCAGAGAAAGTTGCCCCATGACAGACATCTGTACTGGTTCTGGGCTAAACAGTCAGATCCTTTCACATTTTCCCTTTCTGCTTATATAACTGTGTTCAGACTATATCTCTGGCAAGAGGGGGAAAAAAAAACACAAACCAGTAATTGTTTACTGAGTTAAGTGGCCTTCAGTGTTGAACTGCTGAGGTGAGCAACAATAGAGCCCTGGTTCTGGGAGGTACTTCCTAGCCCAAGCAGTTTGTACTCTGCTCATTGAAAGTAAACTACGCCAAAACAGATTAAGTTTTCTTCCTTTTCACAACTAACAAAAAAAGCCATCTCTCTAAGTCATGGTAATATCTGCATACTGATCTTAGAGCATTTTAACCATACGCCATTCCCCAGTCAGATGAAATTATAATCTCTCTCTCAGAATTAGATTAATTGAATTTAATTATTTAGTTTCTTTATTCGTGATTTAGAATATGGGACAAGCCCTCTGGAGTAATACATACATCCCCAAACCTTACAGATAATGAAAGGGACACCTTTCAGTAACTGGAATTTTTTATTACATAGTGAAACCGACTTACAAAGAAATAAGAAAAATAAAACAATTATTTCTTGAGGAAGTACCCCACAGTGTAGAAATATCACTCAGTAATTTTTCTAGTCTAGATAAGATTCAGGTGAAAAAGGAGAGTGACTAAATAAATGAAGTGAGAACCCAGGACAAAAATAATAGATTCCCAGTAACAAAAAGAGTAGGGGTCTAAGTGCAACTAGACATCTTGCACTGCCATCCCACTCACAGGAATGGGTCTGGGACTTGTTCTCTCTACATACCATAGGTTATCTTCTATTGACCCACAGGTAAAACGGTACCTGTCTCTCAGACTGGGGAGTCAAAACCTAGCTGCATAAATCTAACCACATAAGGTTACAGAAATTGTTGTTCATTAACTGTGCCAGCAGAACAGGTAGATCTACTCTTACCTTTGATGAATGCTTTTCCAAGGGCCAGACAGATTCAATCTGTGTTTTTTTACACACACCTCAAAAGCATCTGATCCAATTTTTCTTGACTTTCTCCTTTAATGCATACCATAAACCCTTTTTTTTCTGTTTTCACAACAGGATCATCCATAAAGATGGTTTCACATACCAGGAACGCATGGAGTTCAGATCTGTGATTTACAGTAATGCATTGCAATCTATCTTGTCTATTGTGAAAGCAATGACTATGTTAGGGATCAATTACGAAAACCCAGCTAGAATTGTGAGTATGACGTCCCTTCTCTTGAAATAGGCTTTTTTTTTTTTTTTTTTGTAATATAATATTTAGGGACTAGTAGAACAGAGTAAGAGAGTTAAGTGTTTGCTTGATTATAATGAAAACGATGTATTATTTGAGTTATACCTGTGACAAGATATCCTTCTTTATTTTTATTTTCGTAAGACTGACGCCTGAGGTATAACCTTTGTATAAACTTGCATTTCTGCATTAATTTAATGTATTGAATGCATAAATTGCCATTTCTGTTACAAATGAAATGTTCAACCTGCAAAGACATAAGAAAGAAAAAAGCCTTTTCATAGATTCTTGGCCATTTATTCATTGCTATTGGGAAATGTAATGAGTATTTCCATTTTATGAATAAATCTTGGGGCTGAGCCATGTAAGGAAGGGTCATTTAGACATGTTTGGAACAGTTAAGTTTTACATTGCTCCTGGGGCAGAGATCTCCCCCACTGTATCGAAGCAGCACTGTCACTGGCACTGCACAGAAGTACAGATTGTCCTTCCTTATGTCATTAGCAACTCTATGCGCTAGTGCACAGCGGAAAAGCCACACTTTCCTTTCTCTCCAGCCTCTTTAAAGCAGCATGCATTTTAACACTTTGCAGATTTTACTAAGAGGTTTCAAATATGATGATCCATGCAGTGTTCAGGGAATAGTTTTAGTTAGAAGTTTGATCAGGGATACTAGAAGTTTAGGGAAGCTCTTTAATTCTATCTTTTGTCTCCCTGCACAAAGGCCAGCTATCATATAGTTGTATTAGGTATGAACGTTCCATATCAGAGAAGAAAACTTTTGGCTTCTTTTGACAAGTCAACTGTCAGTGCCTGCTCCTTCCTAGTAAGACGACCTGCTACCTTCTGGCTGTCACGCAGAACTCTCAGGGTGATCAGCTGGAATTGCAAGGACAGAAGTAACAGGAAAACACATCTCTTTCTCTTCAGTGTGATGATCAGGCTACTGCTTGTAATACAGATCTTCCTGAAAATTTCTCAAAGGCCTGCCACAATATCAACTGATTCTAGTTTTGGCAAATTCTGCCAGTTCCCTAGAGGTTTACCTTAAAGTGAATTGCATGTACTTATCTGAAATGCGCTTTCGGTTCCAGCAGTTTACATTTCATTACAACTGGACCTAAAAGTGTACTGCCTAGGGACCCATTTGCTAGATTGTACACAGCCTAAGACAGCAGAAGCTAGCAGAACCTAGCCACAGGTCCTAGCTCAGAGTTTCCAACATTCACTATCAGGTCCAATTCTGCGTTTAACCTCTGTGCTTGAGACATGTTCTGCCTATGTCCAGATACTTCAGCCTACTTTCTCAGCCCTACCAAACTTTTTGAGAAGTTTATACATGTTCACTCATCTTTTTTCCCTAGGGTTATCATTAGCCAATACAGACTTATGGTATACCAACTTATCAAACTTATTTCTTTAGTCATAGAAATCATAAAATCAGAGAAAAATTCAGGTTGGAAGGGAAATCTTGAGGTCCTCTGGCCTAACCTGCTTTGAGCTGGATGAATTAGACCAGGTTACTCAGGGTCTTGTTCAGTTGATCTCGATAAGGATGGAGATTTCACATTACAGCTTTTCTGGGCCCCTGCTCCAGATTTTAACCACCTTTGCCGAATTTCACAGGATTCCTGTCAGCTCATGTTTGCAGCCTGCTTAGGTTTCTCTGAATAGCAGCCCTGCACTCCAGTGTAACCACTCTTTCCAATTTTCTGTCTTCTACAAACCTGCTGAAAGTGCATTCTATCCCACCATCCAAGGCATTAATAAAGACAACAGTAGTGGCCCTAGTATCACTTCCTGAGGGATGCTACTGGTAACTATCCACCAGTTGGCCTCTATACTGCTGATCACCATGATTCTGAGCCCAAGGAGCAAATCAATTTTTCACCAACCTTACTGCCCACTTATTCAGTGCGTATCTCACCAGTTCGGCTGTAAGGGTATTGCATGAGAACGTGTCAAAGGACTTACGGAAGCCAAGATATGCAACATCCGTTATTTCTCCCTTTGTTCACAAAGCCAGTCATCTCATTGTAGAAGGTAACCAGGTTAGCCAGGCATGATTTGCCTTTGCTAAATCCATGCTGGCTGTTCCAAATCATCTTGTCTTAAACCATGTCAAGGGCATATGGAAAGTTCTAAATTCACATTTCTTTAGTCCAATATGAGGTAAATGCTTGATCAGAGTCCATTGGGTTGGGCAGTCCTTACTTAATCATGTTTTTTCCCAGCACTTTCTCTTTACTTGGAGCAAACAGTTACAGAGATTATCAAAACTGTAAAACTTTTTTCCCAGGTATCCAAGCTGAGAACTTGCAGCAATTTCCTGCTTCGGGTTTTGTATAGTGTGGTCAGTGTTTCAGGAGTTAACCATAGAGCAGCTTCTCAGACATAAACATCAACCGAGTATCAACCACTTCTAAAAGGTGATTGCTCTAAGCCACATTGTAAGCAGCAATATGACTTGAAGACTACAATTTCAACATGAAATTTAAAGTGTGAAATGAAGCCCATGCGAAAAAGAAGTCTTGCCAGTTTGACAAATATCCATAGGTGGCCTACGACTATGCAAAATAAATATACACTTTTTTTGTGTATACACTTGTATGCATTTACTTTTACAAAACTGAAGTTGCAATGATGACTGCAAGCAGGCTACAAAATTCTTTGCAGAAATCCATGCTGATTTCAAAGAACTGATTTTTCTAGGGATTTTACAGCCTTGAGAACTGGGAAAATGTGTATTAAACAATTCAGTTTATCTTTAGGCATTATACATAACCAAATGCAAAAAATACTTCTATTTTAAGTTTATCATTTAAAGCATGAGCCTAATCGTACTTTCGCTGACATTGACAATACTCCTCTAGGAATACAGCTGACTACAGCTGTATAAAATATGTGCAGTGCCTGCCTTCTTTTGCCCCAGAACCACATACGAACAACCTAGATCTGAGTTTTAATGAAACTGGAAAATTCTATCGCATATAGTCAACTGGCAACCAGACATTGCCCCTTCTTCCAAAAATGAAGTTAATTTACATTTTCTGTAAAATGATGATGCATGATTTTTTGTGGTTTTGATATGAGCCTTAATTTCAGCTGAACTTTGTTCTTGCTCAGTTCTGGTCCAGATTCAGCTGCCTAAAGTCACTGAGGCATTGACTAAGCCTTTCTTGGGCGCAGGAAACAATCGGTTCTTCCACATTCCAGGGCTGCCTCTAGTACTTCTTAGCGAGCCTTACAGTTCCTCAGTATGCGACTGTTCTGGAAAGAAGGATCCATAGCAATCTATTTTTGCTAGGAAAACCATCTGAAGTCTCTCTAAATGCCACAGAAAGTCAAAACATTATATATACACCAGGGTTATGATAAACTAAATCTGCTGCTATCTTTCTTTTTACGTAAGCAAAAAAAAATCTGCAATTACCAGCTTTTGCGCAATAATCAATTAACTCATTAGCTGGAACACTCTGTGCTCAAGGCTTGTAGGCTACTCTGCTTTCAAATCCAACATGTGATGATATGTGATATCCTGAATGACAGCACATTCTAATTCTTATCTTGAAGTTGAACAACTATGCACCCTGGAGAGCATTTGCGGAGAGCAAGGAGGCACATACACAAGAAAACATGAGTCAGTTCTGTTGGTCAGAGCACTGAACTAGAGGATGAGTGTATAGAATGGAGCTGTTTTTGTTTAATATGAAATGGAACATTTTGTTGAATGCATTCCCCTCCTCCTTTTTCAATTGAATGCATTTTTCTAGAGTCTTTCTTTCTTTTTCCTTTTTTCTCCATTCTGACTTTTAAAAATTTTTCCAATTTTTTGAAAACCTATAGTATTTTATTTTTGAGCGGTCTCTGATTTTTACAAAGTTTCCAGGAACTGCATTTTCTAATGAAACATAGAGAAAAATTACATTCCTAAAATAAATTAGTTACAAATTATTGTGAAGATGTCTTCTATTTTCGAATAAAGCATACTTCCTGTCAAAACACTGTCTGTCAGAACATATTTCTACTATTGAGACTATTGACTAAAAGTCACTTCAGTTGTCTACTCATGGCTAGGAAGCAATTATTTTCTGTAATTATCCACTGCTGTGACAGTGTAGCAAACGATCCTATTTTTAATCATGCTCTTTATGTAAAATATATTTCTAAGCCATTAACTACTGAAAAGAAATATTTTCAATGTAATGAATAGCCTGAAGTCTTTTTAGGTTGACTGCAAAAGGAAGAAAATAGAGAATAAATCACTTAAAATATTTGGAATTGTTTCAATTACAGTTTTCTTCTTCCCCAAAGAAATCACATAGGAAATGCATTCACTAGCTATAGTCACTTTGCCACATTTCTCATTGTGCTCTAGAGCTAGAAAAAAAAAAAGATCAAATATATCCAAATGTTATTTTTTTCCAAATATATTCAAAAAAATAGGAATATATTTCTGCTTTAATATAGTTAAGATATATTTAAGCATCATTTTAAATTTACTTCATGATACATAACTATTCTCATTTACAATAAAAGCCTTCCTTGCAGGTTGGACCTTTTGTGAACACCTGTGGTAAGATGAAACAGCCCTAGTATGCACAAAAAAAAAAAAAAAAGGAAAAAAAAAAGAAAGAAAAATTCTGTATCATGTAAGTCTAGCCTTGGTACTAACTAAAGGGCACTGAGTTTGTAAGAGGATGCACAGGCATGTTTACATGCACAGGCAAGGACAGCTAAATGGAAAAAAAAATAAGAAAATAAGAAATTTCTCTGACCCTGTATTTCATTGTAAACCAAGCATCTTCACAGAGGTGGAGAGGTACAGTATATTTCTACAATACTTACTGAAGTTTATCTTTAGGAAGATGAAAAACAGCTCTGTGCCATGGCAACAGCTATGGAGGACGGTGACATGTCTTCCAAATTGGTTGAACTTATTAAACAACTGTGGAATGACCAAGGGATCCAGGCCTGCTTTGCAAGGGCAGCAGAGTATCAGCTCAGCGACTCAGCAGCTTAGTAAGTAACACAAATTCCAGGTGTAGAGCACCTAGGTATTACCATGATGGAGAGTGTAGAAGCTGTTATATCTAGAACGCTTCCTCAAATGTAGGACTGTGCATGAAAACTATTGACTGTCAATCTGAAAGAGAACTAGGCCTATTGCTGATGGGTTTATAATATATTAGAAACATTTAACTGAAAGCATTTATCAGCAAAAACAAAGAAAAATTTCATTCTGTGAGCATGCTTAAACTGTAAAAAAAAGTCTTCTACTCCTAGCCAGTTCTGATGAAATAATTCAAAAAAGTGAGTTGAAACAGCTTAGATTTAACCTAGAGTAGTACTTTGAATTCAAGTCTAACTGGTAGATTTCAAGCTTCTAAGAAGTTTGACTAAAACTATGAAAAGGTTCCTCTAAGCCAATCTGCCTGCATGCTGCGGTGTACCCTGGGCAGCTACCGTCTCAGCATCCTGATGGGTCTTGGTCAGCAGTGCTGTAGCTGATGTCCTAATGCATTGCCTCAGTTTCCTTTCTGTGACTAGGAGGTGGCCAGTACATAAGTCAGGGACTAGGGCTGCTCAGTTCTGACTCGGTGAAGAATCAGGATTCAACTGAGGTACCTCTCCCGGTTTCAATGTAGTCAGGCAGCCCCCGGTTTGGTTGCTTCTGCAGCTATTCTTACAGGCCGGAGCCTCTGGGTAGTTCTGCTCTGCAGTTTTTTCCACAAGGTCATACAAGATCTTGAGGAGAGGTGTCATCTGGGTCTTCATTTCCTGGAGTGCAAAAGTCAGGCTCTGGTACTGGGGAAAAGAGCAGTTCCAGCTCAGGTCCGTTTTATTTCTGCCTTCTAGTAGCTGCAGTTCTGAGTTTTTGCTGCTCTTATAGCTCCTCCTACCGGCAGGAGGTACCTGCATGGAAAAATTGCACAAACTTTCACTTAGAAGAGAAAAGCACGATAAGAATCTGGGCAAGAGTCAGGCAAACTGAATGTAGTAATAAGTCACTCATTTCAGTTATTAAAGGGGATATACCATGAAAAAATACCTATAAAATTCCCCATCTCTTTATATCTTCAAAGTAAGAAAGAAGACTTTTCTGCAAGATACTAAACAGAAGTGACTAGGAAATATTGTGTGTGTTGATTTGTGCCTTATTTAGCAGTATTTTATGGTAACATTGTATTCCTAGGGCAATAACTAATGCAAGTGCAGACCAATCTTCTGTTTTCTTTCATATACTTTCTGATGGGCCACATTGCAGTTTCCAGGACTAAAAGCTCATAACAAGCCAGTAATCATAATTAGAAGGAAAAACAGAAATAAAAAGAAATAAAAAGAAATCAATGTAAAAAACTAAAATGATTAGCTGTTTATTAGCTAAAATTTTAGAACGTGCAGTATGCCCAATAGATTAAGTTTTGCTGTCTAAAAAGAAGATAGGATATTCTAAAATAATTCCCTGCCAGTGTTATGGGCTGTGTCATTTTTTAACTTCAGGTAGCTTTAAGAGAGCTAGTCATACTCTAGAGGAGCCACTCATCATTTATTGCAGCAGTTCCATGAAAAGCAATAGAGTGATATGCTTTGCACCTGTTTGGGTACTTCTGAGAATCTCACTAATCATCTACCTTCATCTTTAGGTGTCTAAATGATCTTTGAAAATCTAGCCCTTGGCTTCTGAATCATTAAAATTAACTTCATTTTTGCCATTGTTACTGGGCTTCTAGTGATCCATTCAATATCAGTTAGAGTCAGTCAACCACCTGATGTTACTTTTTAATTGGTTTTAAAACCGAAAGCCTGCATCTCAGGTCTTGTGAATCATCAAAGCTCCACTTGCTCCTACACAGAGTATTGCTGTATACTGTGTAAGTTCTGACCTTCTGTGAGTCTTTTCATTATTAAGTCTTGCTAATAAGTTTGATTACTATATTTTCTGACTGTTTTTATCAAAAAAATGAGATCTTCTGAGTAATGCTAAATCTCCTGTCTGTCAAATGTTGCTAGAATTTCCGCCTTATATTCTTTAGCAATTGATCTAGTTTTAAGGTGAAATAATGCAGTAAATGAAGGAATGGGCAAAATCAGCATTATAAATTGTGGCCTTAACTCTCATATAACTACCAATAGCAAGTATATGGCGCTTCTTGACTGCTCAGCCATGCCTTTCAGGGTGCTTCATGTCACCTAACTTACAGAATCACAGAATCACAGAATCGTTTAGGTTGGAAGGGACCTCTGCAGATCATCTAGTCCAACCTCCCTGCTCAAGCAGGGTCACCTAGAGCATATTGCCCAGGATCGCGTCCAGACGGCTTTTGAATATCTCCAGCGAAGGAGACTCCACTACCTCTCTGGGCAACCTGGTCCAACGCTCTGTCACCCTCACAGGAAAGAAGTTTTTTCTCAGGTTTAGGTGGAACTTCCTGTGGTTCAGTTTCTGCCCGTTGCCTCCTGTCCTGTTGCTGGGCACCACGGAGAAGAGATTGGCCTCATCCTCTTGACACTCCCCCTTCACATACTTATACACGTCTATGAGATCGCCTCTCAATCTTCTCTTCTCCAGGCTGAACAGGCCCAGCTCTTGCAGTCTTTCTTCCTAGGAGAGGTGCTCCAGCCCTCTAATCATCTTGGTAGCCCTCCGCTGGACTCTCTCCAGTAGTGCCATGTCTCTCTTGTACTGGGGAGCCCAGAATTGGACACAGAGGAGCCCAGAATTGGACACGGGCTTTACTTCCGCAAAGTAAAGATCAAGCATCTAAATTAATCTACTAGTTTGTGTTCTCTCTTGTGTCAGTGGCGAGCAGGCCCACCGAGGGTGCCGTTGTAGTTGCCTAAAGCTGTAGGAAGAATCTGAAGACGCCTTTCTTGCTCCAGTAACTAGATAATTAACTTGGACTAATTCTTAGGCAACTACGATTGGGTGTGTTGACTGAATTCAGGTATTTGTGGCTTGAAGCTAGTAGCAGATGTTTATAATGAATTGAAAGGGTTTACTGTAGTGCTTCCATGCTTTTTAAGTTACAAAATTTATTTGGTTTCTGCCTCCCACAGAGTTAAACTGAGATAAGCCTGCCTCAGGCTCTGCTCAGAAAACTGGAGTTACATTGCAGTGTTAAAAAATAGATTGTTTACTGGGCTGAAATGATGGGTGAACACTGAATTACTGAGATCAACCTCAGCACTCCTTGCTGAGTGGATTCACATTATTCAATTTAAAATATGAAAATCCCATTTCTAAACATTGTTTATTAATCTAATGCAGAAAGATTCTAGCAGTTTCTTTTATTTTTACTTTTTTACTTGCAGATATATTAAATTTTGCAGGCAAGGATGATGAGCTGTGAGGTTTGTTCTGATAGTTTTCTAGCTAAACTGTACAGCAATACTTCCTGCTGGGTAGATGGTGCGCAACAGAAGAAAAAAAAACATAAAGCCTAAGAAAACATTAGAGAGACTTACAGGGTTATTTTTTTTTTATAAGAAGCAAACAAGGGACAGATTACAAATGGAAAAGAGCCAACTGAGACATTGAATGGGCTTGAAAATGGCTCAGCTATTGTATGTGGTTTCTTTTTTTTATGATTTGAGTATCAGTTGTTAAGAGTATATTTCTAAGTTACTCCAACTTCATCTCTTCTTTTTGCCAAATCATAACCATTTTCCACTGATTCCTAGATCAGCCAGTAAGATTCATTGGCTCTATTCAGTCATTTCTAGAAAGTTGCTTGCTCCTAGAAGAGACAGCTGAAGGGTTGGTGGTGACTGAGAACAGAATTCAAAGATCTGGTTCAGTTTCTCGTTTCACAAAGATTTCAAGTCTGAGGCTAGGCAAGGCATTTTATCTCTATATGCTTCTATTTCATTGGACATAAAACAAGATAACTGACTGCTTTCCCAGGGGATGTGAAAACACTAACCTAGTAGGTCCTCGTCTTGTTTGAAGCTTCTTGTTATGGTTGCAAAATAAAAGTTTTAAAATATATAATAAATATTAAATAATAATGTTAAAAAAAATGTATCTTTCTCAGGTAAAGTTATCGGTCTAAGTAAAAGAGCTCCTACCGGTGATTTCCTCCAGACTATTATGCCCTCTCTTTTCATTTAGGAAAAAGATATTTTTACAACCGACTGGTGGCATTGTCTGATACGATGAGATAATTTCTAGCAAATCTACTTCTAAGAGATGCTTGAGGTTCTTCCCCTATGATGGCAATTTCCAAGTCAAATGGACAAAAACTCTTTCCTGCTAAGATGCTTTCTTAGCATTTCTGAGGGAGATAAGGATTTCCCTGAACTCAAACTGTCTGAAGCACATTTATTGTATAGGACCAAATTACCACTTCTGTATACAAGAAAAAACTGGATCTAGGTTGTGGCTCTAGATCATATAAAAAACAATATTTAATTTAAATATGTAATTCTCATAAAATATTTAGAAGTGGCCGAATACAAATGGATAAATGACCATGTCACCTTTTAAATTCACCAGATACTATTTCTTCTTACTCTCCTTAGTTATCTCAATGACTTGGATAGGTTAGCAATGCCTGACTATGTGCCCAGTGAGCAAGACGTTTTGCACTCCCGAGTGAAGACAACTGGAATTATAGAGACTCAGTTTTCCTTCAAGGATTTGAACTTCAGGTATGAGAGCCACGTTTAATAGTGTTTTCTCTGATTTTAGCTTTTTAAAATATTTTCTTTTCAGTGAGGTTGACCTATTATAATATTGCTAATCCCATTGTGATGTCCTTGAATCCATTCTTATTTAGTAGTTCGTAACAGTCAAAAAAGGAAGATATTTTAATATCAGTATTCCACCTTTAAGCATATAATGGACTGTTACTACGAGATCTCAGAATATCAGGCTCTAAAAGGATGTATTTACATTTGTAAGTGTCTAAAAAGCATTATTTGTATCCTGCTATTTGAATAATTATTTGTGACATTTATGAAATTTGCCTGCCCTTAACAGCATGCAAAACATTTGCTGACTACTAATTTGCATATACTCTCAACCTTTCCCTCTCTTGAGAAAGGAAGTAACTGCTCATAACACTGGAATTCATTACAGTTATCAAAAAAATCATAATTTCTGTCCCATGAGAGATTTCAGTATTAGCATACATGCCTTCATCCTCATTTAAGATGAAAAGCAAAATGTAAAAAAAAAAAAAAGGAAAATAATGTCTCTGAGAAATTTGATTGAAAATAACTGACACTTTCAAATACTCAAGGTGTTGTTAAGTTTGGTGATCCAATTTAAAACACTTAATTCCACACTAAATCATGTTGAGTGAACTGTGATAGTTTCAACGCTTTATAATTCCACTTTGCTCTATTTTCCCTTTCCATTTAATCTTTAATTTAAAGGCTGCAGTGCATTTTGAGGAAAGCAGTATAGACACGAAACTGTCCATAGAGATAGATGGACATATGAGGCACCAGGATTAAAGTTTTGCATTTATTTTCAGTGGTTTTTTTTTCCTGCATGTGGTAATTAAACACCCCACAAACCATCTATCCTACCAAACAGATGCTTTGAAACAACTGAGTTTACTTCCAAAATGAGATTCTGAAGTAGATGACCAACAAATAAATGATTATCACCTATAAATATACTGATCACTCCTGAAAACTCAACACTTATCCACAAATGCTATGTTACAATGTCACAGATGCCATGCTCTTTTTCTCCAGTTAACATATTTCGGATAGCTTGTACATTGGAAATCTGATTACCTTCACAGTTACAATCATAAAGCACTACACAGGGAGGGATTATCAGACTACAAACCCTCATGACCTAAATCCTACCGGCCTTAATATTAGAGTTAGTGTCTAGGTCCAACTGAAATGCAGCACAACTAATTGTTACTATTTGAGTGTCTGAAGACAACAGAAAGGTTCACAAACACTAAAAAGCACTCACTATATTTGTCCTCTCCGTTATGCATCACAGTGGTGTATATGATTAAATTCATTGGTGTCTTTATGCACTTAAGTAATGTTAGGTAAAATCACTATAAAACAGTCTGAGGGTTTTAAGCTGCTACAGAGATGCAGAGCAACTATAAATCCATCTTAACCAGCAAATTACTGCTACTTTGCATTGCCAGAGCAATGCAAAACAGCTGGAGTATCCTGATGACTCTGCATTTACTTTGGTAAGTGCCATAGGGAAATCTACAGAGAGAGGAACATTTGCATATTCAGAATGAGTTTTGGTTGATGTACTTAAATGAGGCTTGGGTCACAAAACAAAACATGGATAAAAAACATGCCTCATTTGGTAAACACTTTTTCATCTTCCAAACGGAATGAGGCAAAAAAACATTTTGCATCCAAAAGTCTAAATTGTAATACTGCTCCAGGTACTGAATTACAGTTGCATGGGTATCATCACTTGGTATTTGTTAACTTCTTAGCGGTTGCTTTGTTGTTTTAACATGATTTAGCTTTACTGCATTCTTCAACTTACTTCACTAATCACCCTGACTATGACTTCCAGAGCTGAGAACATATTCAATATTTAAAAAAGGAGGTCTGATATTCATAGGTCCTCTCTTGCTGTCGTTCTCATTGATGTGCCAGGAATACTCACTGGTATCAGGCAAGTTTTAATTTAGTCTTCAGGTCTCACCATATGTAACATTAAGACAAATGCACATACAGTTAGTCCCGTATCTGTGGCTAGATTTCTCAATACTGACAGAAAAATACAGAGCTTCCAAGATAAACTTTGACTATCTTGGTAAAAGAAAACACAGTATCAGAACTACACTTTATACTTTTCCCAGAGTGACTTCAGTTTTATATGTATACATGTTAAGTTCCGAGCTGACATGAGAAGAGGTAAGCAAGCTAAGCTTAGCATAATAAAAAATGTCCATAAGCATTTCTTCTGGCCTTGATCTTGTCCTATTTTAACTGACTCCTCATGAATATTCACAGTACCATATGCTAAAAACTTGCAGGAAGTGCATATAGATTCATATGATTACGTATGCTTGTGAAACTAAATTTTGAAGATTTTCTTTTCTTAGAAACCTGATTTAAGAGTTCCATACCACAAAACAAGGAAGACACACAATACCACGTGACTTTTGGGCACTAATCTCAGCCAAGAGTCAAGATGCTTTATTCTTTCTGGCCTCACTCCTCAGTAGGCCTACCGAACTCAGTGAATATATGGTTGAAAGAATGCCATTACTGATACCAAAATCCTATTCGACAATAGCATCCTGATTTCCTAATAACTCACATTCATAGACACCTAATGCTCAGACAAAGCGATGAATGTACTAGAAAAAAATCATTTTCTCTAATTATCCCCTCAGCTGCAGAAATAGTTCATCAGTATCATTGGGAAGGGCTTTACACCTCCTAAGCAGGATGAATAAGGATAAGCAATAACCTTTGCTTCCATGAGCTGCCTTGCTGACGGTGAAGAAAAGAGAGGATCAAGATACTGCAAAAATGGTGTTTTAGTAACAAATTACTCTTGCTCTGTTTATTAGTGGCTTGGTTTTCTCATATTGAATCTCAGTATTTGCATTGCTAGAAAAATTGAGCTGTGTTTAATTCTCAGATCCTGCAGGATGTACACCCAAAGTGTAAGATCTAATGCATTTTTTTAAGGAAAGGATAAGGTAACAAGGGATTGGGAGGTTTTGGAGTTTAAGTTCAACAACTCACAGCACATAGAAAATCATTATGCGCACAAGAAAACACAAAAAGTAAGGATAGGATTGGCGACACAATGAGTAAGACCAATTAGGACATACATTTGGCTTCTTACATGTTTTTTTCTCCTTTCTAATGCACTTGAAAAATATCCAGGTTTTCCTAATTTTATGTCGGAAGAATAATGAAGGGAAAGTCCTATCCTTTTCACTGAAGAACAATAAAAATAAGTCAGAGTTTTAAAGGCTAGTGCTAAGTAGAACAATGGTAGCTTTGACAACAGATCCAGCTCTGCTGGGCCTCAAACTTCGTGTTGCATTGAAAGTCTAAACTAGACATGCTCAGTTTGTTTTGGACCCCATATAGAAATCCCTATGACTTTACTCAGAGGTGGTAACTTCTGGTAAAGAATGAGATAGATAATGCAGAAAAGGACAGCCC